ATTTACCTCACACAGATATATGTAGTCAAAGATTGGTTACCGTAAGGCCAGAGGAATCAAAGTATGAACAGGAAGATGCCTGTACACTTTCTGAGTAAGGCCTTTCTGTGAACTGCTTTAGAACTACAAGAGATGGAAAAGCATAGTAAGTTACAGTTATAGTATTCTTTTTACACCAAAACACCTGAATATTTACTGGGCTTACAAACCTGACCCGTGCAAATAATTGCAGTTCGGATTTAACTGAACTAAAACTAAGAAAGATGCAGACCTAGAGCCCACATTGTTGCTTGAAACACTAAAAATTGCATGAGAGAATCTTCATAACACAGAGCTCCTAATGTATGATATCTGAATACGAGCTGTCCAGCAGGAGATGTAGGAGTACAGAACTCAAACAGGTATAGTCATACAGAATTTATCTTAAAATAGAAGCTGGCCTAACCTTCATCTCTCACAAGGGGTTCAAATATCTCTTGAGAAGGCTCCACTTCATTTAACACGCTGTTATTTTCCTTCATCTTTTGTAAGCTTTCTAATGCTGTGCTATGTTGAGTCAAAGCTCTTACAAGTGCAATATTGTTCACCAAATCAGGAAGGTCTGATGAATTTTCAGCTGCTGCTGTGCATTTCAAGCAATCCATTCCCACCCTTTCACCTTTGCAGGCTTCCAAGGCACTTATGTTCTCTCCATTTTCAAACTCAATTTCACCTATTGCTGTTTCTTCTGGAGATGAATGGTCTTCTCCTAAAGGATAGCTAGAACTTCTGGAAATGAGAATATCTTCCTTACGTGAAACTCCAAATACCTTTTGAGGGTCTTCTGCAGTATAGTGGAATGAGCCATAGCTACAATCTGATTTTTGTGACAAAGCCATCAAAGGACTAACTGGTTTAACATCAGCCCTCTCAGCAGCCCAGTGGTGTTCTAAATCAGCATCTGGGTATTTCATGCATCCAAGCTGTAGAACATCTTCTTTGGTCCTTTTGTCCATAGCACAAGTTACTCTGCTGGCAGAAATACATGGAATACTTTCAGTTTTCTGAAACATACTGGTTTTAGTGGGGCATTCACTAACATCTGTATCACCAGGCAAAAGATCAGAGCACTTGCTTTTTATCCATGATGTGCCATTAATGGTATGTGCTGCGCAGTCATCAAGATCCTTCTGATGGTTTGTGGCTTCAATACTTAATTGACTTTCCATTATGTCTTTTTTGTTGTCTCCATCATCCAGAAGTTCCCCTTCAGTTCTGGTCTGGATTGCAGAGTCTTCTGCTATTCTTCCTGTATCTCTGAGATGGCTGTCACAGAGCTGAGGTGGAACACCCTCAGGGCAATGATATCCATCATTCTCTCTGTCCAAACTTGAACATTGGGCATCTTCATTTTCACCTTGCATCACTAGTTCACAAGAAGAATTAAGTCTCAGCACACTACTTTGCACTATAGCTTCTCCCTTCAAGCTGCCTGGACTTTGTGAAACCACATCTCCTTCAGTGAGCTTATTCACATCTCTTTCACACAGGCCTTGGTTGTCTGCGTCATTAAAATCAAAAGCCTCCATTAGATTAAAGTTAACCTCCATCAGCTGTTCATCTGGACCACACTCTGTGCCATCCAGACTTAATTCCTCCTTTACAAGTCCAGTTTCAGTCAACCTGTCATCCACAGAGAGCTCCGGGTCACCAAACACTCCTTCTGAAGTTTGTCTTGGCTGAAGCTCACTTTGCAACTTGACCAGTGAATTCTCCTGAAGGCCATGAGTCACTGAATGCTCCCTGCATCTAGAAATATTTTCTTCAAAGGTGGTGGGACTTGCTGAACACAAACCACCACCTGAGGGTGAGACAAACTGACTGTCACTCCTTCTGCTTATGGTGGATTCAGGTAGGAAGCAGCTATTTGTACTACAGGGATCTTCAACATCTTGACTTAAATTATTTGCCTTTGTGTCATATCTCTGTCCTGTAACTTCTTTATCACAAGATTTTTCAGCTGAATTGAGAAGCATTTCAGCATCCCATTCCTTTTTATCGCTGACAGTTCCCTTTGTCAAAGGCAGGGGTGGAGTATTTTGAATGAGTCTTTTGGCAGTGTTGCCCAAAACAGCAGGCAGGACTGTGCTTTTTTGCTTATAGAAGCTATCTGTGTTTTCTGATGCCTGAAAACTAGAAAGACATTCTGTGACTTCAGAGGTCGTTTGCTCTCTACATCCTTGTGTTGGTTTAGACTTCAGCAGAGCTAGTATCTGTGCTGTGCTCCTGATGGTGTGTGACACTGCCTGACCACCAGCAGTGTGACTACTGGGTTTGGTGTGCCCAGTAATTAGAGGAGGTTCTGGCTTCACAACAGACAGAGCAGAGTTCTGCTTCCCTGTCTCCTCACATTTGTCAAGAAAAGGACTTGAAAGCAGTGAGGAGAGAGACATGTGTTCTCTGTCATTATCTGCACACACATCTTCATTAAAGTCCACAGGTAGATTTGTTTCTGCATCCTTCCTGCAGATCGTAGAAAATAATGGAGAAGTAACATAAAACTTGGATGGAAAAGTACCCTGACACTGCTTAGATAAAGGTGATATTGTTGATTTTCCTCCGTCTTCCATTGTTGATAATTTTTTTTCAACTTGGCGTGGCCCTTGGAAACCCTAGGAGAAAAAATGTAAGTTAATTCTACACAGTAACAAATATTCAAGTGTTGAAAATAGGGCATGAAATGTATTCTGGTCAAGTAGCACATGACTGTTCCACAGGTGTATAAAATCATCTCAAGCCCTCGCAATTTTCACTGCAGCCTTAGCAAAAGCAATCCTGCTAAACCAAACAGATTTAGACAACTCTGGGGAAAAAAAACAGCTAGCAGTTACACATTCTGGCTTATAGTTCCAAAAAACCCAGGAAGACTTTGTCTATATATCAACCATTCATTAAAAGACATGCTCTTTGTGTTTTATAACACACATTAACCTCAGACATATTTTTAAAGCAAAGACATACTGTAAACTTCCTTTTCAAGCCCACAAACAGATGTCTCGGAGGCAGAGCACCCGCTTTTACACCATTTCTATCCACTGCTGGAGTTTCTGCTTTCCTTGGCTGATCTTCAGAAGTATTTTCATTCACTTTTACAGCTTCCACTGTGATCAAATAGCGCTCACTTTCTAAATCGTCTCCAGCATTCACCTAGAAAAGAAAACCAGCAGTGTGTACATAATGATGTTATAGATGATTAAGTTCTTTAGATAAATATAGTATATGGGAAAATCTCAGAAATTCACACCCAGTGTAGCACAGCTGCCACATAAATACTTACATTATAAATATAAATAAATACTTATAAATATACTTAATACTTATATTAAGTAAATACTTATATTAAAAAAGTATTTAGCACTGTGCTTGAAGTTCTGCTTATTTAATGTATCACTAATACACTGCTTTTTTCCCCCAAAGGAATAAAATTCCATAAAGCTTCTAATTTGGATCTAGAAAACCAGTAAGACTTGGCAATAAATTGAAGCTGGTTTTGCTTTCTGTTATGTTAATTGCAGCAGACATTCATATCCACAGTAAGAAAGAGTACTACCTTAATTACCAAACAGGAGTTGGAAATGCTTCCTGAAACACAAACCACCATCATAAGCAGAAAAACTATAAAACCTGCAAACGTAAAGTACCTGAGATTTTACAAAAATACTCTCCAAGAATTGTCCTTTCTCATCAAACAAGACAGCCTGCAATGAAAAAATAGAATTATAAATCACTAACTTCATTTCTCAAATAACTAGGTAGCCACTGAGAGTCCAGCAGTAGCAGATGATATTAAACCCAGCTGTAGTAAATCCGAGTTGTTCACCTGATTTCTGCCAGTTCTAATCCTCAGAATTCCATCTTGCCATGTTTTTGATTTTTTTGTCTTTTGGTGAGTGTATAACACCTGTTTGAAATGTGTAAAACGTGGAAATAATAACAATTAATTAACATGTTCAAACAATATAGCAGCTACAGTGCCTTTTATTTCTACTTCATTGTAGACAGTGTTAAAAATCACGTACAGTAAATTCTTGAGAAGTCATTGCTTTGGCCAAACAGTCATCCAGCAGCTTATTTCACTAATATTCACATCTTCATCCAGCCCCAGAGACAGGGAAATCTTCAGAATCCACCAGAGCTGTGAAACAAGTTTATTGACAACAAGTAGATGTCAGTTCATTTATTAAAAAATTTTTTAATTAACGTAAGAGAGCTACATGCAAGACCATGTCAAAAGCTTGTGGTATAGCTGACGTAGGCATTTTAAAGAGGATCCTTGAAAATAATCTAATAGAAAGACTACTGGTAAAAAATGGCTTTTTTTATAGAGCTGTACCTATAAAATTAATCTAGATTTTTTATAGACCTATGTCTATAAAATAT